TCGGGGATTCGATATAGCAACTGAGTGGTGGAGGGAAATCTGCACCTCAAATTCGCTTTGTCACTTTCACAGAACGCACTTTACTTGAGCGATGGTTTCCAACTAGTAGCCGCGTCTGGAGCCCATTACTAAGCAAGCGTGACATTCGGTCATGACAGGTGGAAAAAGAGCATAAGATAAACAATGGGGAAACACCACATACTGATTCGTTGCTGCCTTTTCCACCTTCCATTTGAGCTTCCCTTCTATGGGTACACCGACCTTAATGAAAGATGAAGTTTTAAGGAGTCTATTAAATGAAGGCCTTAACCTTTCTGGGTCCTCCATCTCGTCTTGAGAAGCCTAAGTAGCCTTTAAGTCTCGTGCTATTTCCGAAGCAAAGCCACTCTAGTGGATTAAGCATTCAGCTACCTACTGTCATCATCCCCTCCCCCAACATCGCAAAGGCAGATGTGATTAAATTCTTATCAAACGGTGCTGTACCGTATGATTTAGGTTTTTTGTACGAATGGCTTTCGAGAGGTACAAAACTTGGAGCTAAAGCTTGTCAATGTAAAACACGAATCGAATCCAGCAGTTACGGAATGAATTTCTCCAACCGGGGCAGCACTGCCGTAGATGGCAGTTTTGCTCTCCTACAAAGCCCCACATTGTGCAGTCAACGAACGCTTTTGAACTTCATTTGGGGATGAGAAGGAAACCGGGACAACATCACAAGTCCAATCTTTTGGTCAACTGCCCACGATCTGTGAGAATGTGTGGAGCCTTTGATTTGTTGTCCGGACCGCCAAACTTTATTTATTCCACCCACATGGAGGTGAAATTCACCGCTCGTAGAACGTGAGAGAGAATTATGTGCTTTAAGATCCGGAAGGGGGCGAGGAACAGATTCTAAAAGCCCTTTGTTTATGGGGAGGTGAAAGCCATTAGGGAACTGCGAAAGAGGCGTTCAGCGTGACATTGGTAAATCGCGTCCTGTGTACAGGCTTCAGGTATCAATGCTACCATCAACGCTGAGACAACATAAGTACCGAAAATCGGTGCCTTCACCTCCGACGATTGATATAACAGAGGCATGGTGAAAAGAACTTCCTTTTAGCTACTTGTGTTACCTTGCCTGATCTTGACACTGCTGTGGATATTAGGTCATTCTTCTCACCGATCTTGGTGAAGGTAAGTGGGAGCTCTTACTCAACAGAAGGAAGTCTAAAAAACAAGGCGATGTTTCGAGAGAAATTTAATCTAATAAGGCAATGCGCTGTCCCTACAGATCAACAGCACTATCTCCTTCGTGGGTTTAATAGATCAGATTTTCCTGCCACATAAAGTTGGGCCCTAGCATCAAATTCTCGACTCTTCGCAGGAATATGCATAACAAGTGATTTGTAGCCTCTTACAATCTCATATATCCAAACAATCCACAGCCTTCTGAGCACGAAGAACAGCTTTAACAATGGGAAGCAGCAAAGAGAACGTCGTGGCAGTTCATACCAAGGAAGTGGACTTAAAATGACCTGCTCTATAAAACAGACAAATTAAGGTTATTTTTGCAATGCAACCCCTTTCTCTCCTCCCCTTCCACCTCCTTGCCCCTCCTTATCCACAGTGAACAGTGCTGCAGCGTGTCGTCTCCTGACGTCCGTTCACTAGGGACCATTGGCGCTGAACAATGCCAGCAGCTTAACTGACAAATAACCGCTAATTTAGAACAAATTTTGTTAAAATAATTTTCCTACTTAACAAGTAAGCCTTTAAGAACTCATTGCGCGCACCAGCATTGCGGTCTCGTCAAGATCTTGCGCCGACTTGAACCATTTGAAGTACAATAATCGGACTGCCAATCAAAACGAAGTAATTTTGATCAACATTAAAAAAAGTCGCATCTATACGTCAAATCTACCAAATAAATCTTAAAGCCTGTACAAAAAAGGCGCTCAAAAACGGTTTATTAAAAAGATGACTTGTTTAATGTCGTAGGGTGAATCAGCAGTCCAAGCGAGGGCAGTTTCTATCCAAGACCGATTGCCCTCACCGGCACCACTGCAGACGTCTGAACTGGGAGAGCAAACTTATAGGTGGAGGAATAAAAACTTTTACTGCGGGAAGCCATGCGTAGACAGATGCATGCATTTGCTGGATAGCGGATAACACCGCAAATCCCATTCCCACAAATGGCACCGGACAAGCGGTAAAAGATGTGTGTGTTTGTTTGTTTGTATGCCGGTTTCTGCCGAAATGGCTGCACATTCCATGAGTTTTGGTGTCAGCTTACTTTTTTACCGCAAAATACGCTGGGAGAACTCTACTACGATTTCCTCAAGTTGCCTTTTTTATCAGTGCATTTAGGCAAAATTTTGAATGCGGGAAAGTAGAATGGATTACGGAGGTTAGCAGAATACTGGTACTTCCGCCTCCTAGATGGGAGCAGATCTTATTTTGATGAGTCAAAGGTTGTAAATTAGCATCAAGCGCTTTACAAGCGTGCAGAACCAACAAGGCAGGTGGACTTTGCTCTTAGTGATTTGAACCGGAATTCGGATATAATGAACGTGTGTCACATAGGTTAACCCCATAAATCGTTTTTTGGAACAGCTGCATGCGTGTAGGTCTCCTAAAATCCCCATCAGCTTTACTGAATGATAAAAGACTCAAAACTTTGCATGCACTAGTAAGGATAAAAACACAAAATTTGGAACTCCTCTCGAATGTGCGAGTAATTTGAAAGATGGTACACTGCACTTAGTAAACTATAATGATGAATGGATTCCAACCACCTTTCTAACGTAGCTGCAAAGCCATTTCGTAAAAATGCCTTCCTGCAGGCAATTGCATCTCTTGCCCTCACACGAACCCACAAGGATTTAGAGTACGGTAAGTGAAATGCCGTCCCTCATAATTAACACTACTTACTTTATTCAGTAGGATAGGCTTTATCTTGCAGATACTAAGGTTAAAAAACCTCAACACAACATTGATGAGGGATTCAAAGAACGCTTGACTACTTTGGCAGATCAAACAGTTTTTCTACTGATTTTTGGTTGTTGTGGGCATTGTCTGTTTCACTGGAAAAATTAGGGGACTACTTAATTCTGGAATATGTAAAGAGGTGGACTTTGAATAGCATCACAAGAGGTAAAAGGGCACCTTGCAAGTCTAAAATCAACTCTACGCACATCATTCTGGAAGGTCAGGTCGAAGTTAAGTCCACTTGGGAGGGCAAATCGTGACTCTGAGAGAGGAATAGAGGTACTTAATGCCTGCATTTTGAGTACGGCTCAAAAATGCACGCCGAGTTCCTCCTTCCCTCGCAGAATATTTATGTCTTCTCGGGTAATTTTGACAGCGAAGACTCATCTCTGTGGCATTTTGGATGGCTGAAGTGTAGAAACGCTTCTCAGCTGCCAACAACATTTTTTGCAAATCAAATATCATTTGGCTTAGAAACTCATCCAAGAATGTAGTGGGGCGTAAATGATATCCATGTTGTCGACAGTCTTCCCTCTGAAGCGTAAAGCCAAAAAACCGCAAATTGTGCCAATCCCCCATTCCCTCTCCCCCTCAACCTCACTTGTTACATCGACCTCAAAAAGGACATGACAAGAGCAATAGCAACGGGAGAAGGCGTGCAAATATGCAGAATACACAACGACTTTCAACATGAGGCTAACAACTTGGACAAAAGGAAAAAAAGAAAGAAAACACAAACACACATTTCAAATAATCACAGCTCGACAGATGTTGAGGCGGTCAGGCAGATGTGTTGACTTGAAAATTGCTCTTTCGTGAGTGAGTTGGGCATGGAAGACAATGACCAGCGGGGTAGACGGAGGTGCAGGAGGGCGGGGGAGGGAGTAAGTCAGAATGCCAAATACTCGATTCAAAAGGGATGAAACGAGGGTGAAAGGAGAAATTACGGTGAGGGACTCAATCGTTTGGGTTACTCTGTTGTGAACAAGTTGTTGGAGGCCTAAAAGAGACCTCGGCGATGCTTCTTTATCTTCTCCAACTTCTCCATCGATCCACATACGGACTGAAATTAAAAGAACAAAGAAAACAGAAATCACTTCTAGAGGTCATTTGTAGTGCCTAAAAGGAGACAGGAGAAAAGGCTAACAAAACGCTGGAGGCGAATTGAAACATCGAAACGCAAGATTGGAAGTTAAACATGGAGAAGGTTGAGGGACCCAGCGAAACAGCACTCCTTTAGCGAAAGAAAAATAGTTTCCGGATTCCCTAGAGCAGTGGTGAACAACTGAGGCCAAATGATGAGACGATACAAAGATGGGCAGAGGAGAACTGGAAGGAACCCAAAAGTACAATAAATTATCTGAAGTTCAGTTGTGTAAAAAGGGAGCATCAGAAGTACCTTTTGATCCGTCATAAACGAAGTAAGTCCAAAATGATCAAAGGAAATGAAGACATTTTGACCCCAAACAGGAACTAAAATGTGCCAAGCAAAAGGCTCGATAATTACTTTGTCGCCAAAAAAGAGGAGCAGGAGAAACTCTGCGGCGAAAATTCGCTTATGAGCCAAAAACGTTCGCAAAATGAGAAGGAGAAGAGGTGCACCGAGAGATCGAATAGGGTAAAAAAAAGGAAACGAAGGTGGAGCCGTTTACATGGTGGAGCGAGGAACCAGTTAGAATAAATGGCAAAATCATCCGCTCTCGAAAGATAAAACCATTTGAGTATGACGAGTGTACAATCTACTTATAAGCAAGGAAGAAAGAGCCCTGAGCAAGTGATTTGTTTGAGAGAGGGATCGCTAATCGCAATAGGGAGACGTCACTGAGTCTAATGCCATGGGTGAGGAGAAGGAAGGTGCCATTATGACCAAGAAAGGGGACTTGAAATGAACAGAACCGAGTGGAATAAGGCGTTGGAAAGAAGACAGGAAATCGAGGTAGGAACCAACAGCAAACTAAGAAAAACTCGCTAATCCCGAACAGAACTGGTTAACATCGGAACAGAACCGACTTTAGCACACGTTTGTGCATTCTCTACGTCTCCATCTGTGCTAACGGTGGAGCCAAAAGTGCTTCCGAATTGTGGGTGACATGGTAACTGGCGACATCCGTCGTGGTGGATGAGGTGACACTAGGAGAGGTGAGAGTAGGTTCTCTACCAGGAGCTGAGGAGGGTCTCTGTGATCGCTGACTCATCCATTGCCTTTTTCGCGATCGAGAACAAGAACGCAGCTTCCGCCATGATGAGGCCAACAGACCCGCCGACCATGTACGCGTAATAGTGACAATGTTGAGCGGGAAGTCAGGCTAAAGTGAACGCAACGACTTTGATGTACTTACCTGGAAGTGGTAGTGCAGAAGGGAGGCACAAGGATGACAATTAAATGCTTACTAATCCAGTTGTTACTCTATCCACCTTCCTACCTGCAATTATGCCGCAATCTGTCAGTTCATCGGGATGGATAGACCCACGTTTATGAGGTTGCCACCGAACACTCTCTCCATCTGCATTATTATCCACCCTCCAACTTGCCTGTTCGGTTCTCTATCAACAGAGCACACATTTCTTTCCCTCATTTACTACTTGTCTGCTTCCCTGCGTCGTTCCATATTGGCTCAAAATGCATTAATCCGCTTATCTATGCGATCATTTGCCACCTCTACTATTACAAATTCATTCTAGTACTTGTCGAAATACCTCTTGCTTTTACTTTCCTGACCGCAATCGCAAGAAAACTGCTGTCACTCAAAATGCCCACGAGTCTTGGCCCTGGAAAACTTAGCTTTTATGCAAGTACGGCCTTAGATGCTGTGAAACGCATTTTTAAACGTAGGCATCAGTTCATCACTGATAACTACAAATCTCCCGCCAGTTGTAAGGTTTGCTACACTAGATTAATGACTGTACTCAATAGAGTATTCAGGAAAATGCCCAAACATCAGATCCCATCCCAAATAATTGCATACCACTGCAAGATCAACTATTACCAAACCAGTCCATGCATTACAAATTTGTCGACCGATAGATCCAATAAACTCCGGCCATTGACTAAATCAGTCCCAACTTTCAGCAACAGATTTACTGAAAGCGGTTAGAGGCGAATGCTGCATGTGTTAATCCTTCTTCTATGTCCTATCGGGTCGAATTATAGATGTGATGCAATATGCAGAGGGAGCAAACACGACTCCAAATTGTCATCATCCAAACGATAGTCCGACCAGCAGATTTGAAAGGGGTTGAGGAGAGTAAAAGTTCGCCAATTTGAAACATACCAAACACATGAGCATGGCGAATCTCAGCAATACACTCGTGTTCGATGAATAAAGAAAAATTTTAAAAGGGCTCGTCATTCTTCTGACCTAATGAAAGAAGACAACACGCCCAAATTACTTTTAAACAGCGCCTTCAAAGACCATTTACCGAATCATTCGCTTCACACAAGTGTGGCAAGGAAGTGAAAATGCTTCTCCGTGTTCACCGTTAAAAACGGATTCCATTTGGTAAGTGCATTTAAAAGTGGCCAGTCAATCGTACTGAAGAAAGTTACTATTCACTAAAAAGTGACAACGACTACTGAATGGTGAAATCAGTAAAGTAACAAACTTACATTGAATGGAGAATGACCAAGTTGTGTTTTCTTCTGAAAGAAATTCGCCTTTAAGTCTCAAATCACGAAAAAAGTAACGAAATCTCACCAAAAGTATGCTTTTTTATATTAGTGAGTGACAATGCCGAAACACCTAATCAAAATCTACTTTTCAACAAAGGAACTAAAACAATTTTCCCCGAAAATTACTTGACACTGGGGAATTCACATCTTAATCAGAGTGCTACCTACGATCTCTTCAGCAGCATTTCAAGTACTCACATGTGAACGGGAGATGTATTGTAGACTGCCATAAAATATCTGGAATTCAAAAATAACCCGAAAATATTACTTGGGGACCCCAAAATCGAAGCAGAAAACTAGCAAGTCCCACTTGATAACATTTAATTAGACTCACATCAGCATAGTCCCGGTTTTCCATTTCCCAAGCGACGCGCTCATCATTGAATGCCTGGCGGGCCGTGGCCAGATTCTCCGCCTCGGCTTCCAACTGTTGTTGCATCTGCCGTACATGTTCTGCTATTTCTCGTTCACTGTCTTTCAGACGCTTCTCGCGTTCTCGTACCTGAAGGGAAGAAGGGGGTAGGTTGTCTGATTACTGCGGGTTAAGTACTTACTTTTCCAGCAACAAATGAAACAATATTTCAGTCTACCTCTAGGATCAAAACGACTTCCTAAGTGTATAAGCAGCTACTTAAATCAAATAAGTAGACAAATACGGTTTATCAAAATGATATTTAAAGAGGAAAGATGCGTTTAAAGGTCCAACGACCTAATGTTGGTGATGGATGTAGCGGGTTTGGGAGTTGGGATCACGTTAATATGAGGACCAAACTGGAGCCCGATAAGACCGATAATCTAATGAAATGCAAAGAGAAAATAGGTAATTCAGCAACCACCATCTCCTGGGGCCAATTGCGCTAACGAAGTCGACATTTGATTCGATTTTAACAGCAAAAAATTAATATCAGGTAAAGAAAATTGCACCTTCTCCACGTAGACCTGATTCATCTCCTCTACCAACTTGTCCAGTTTAATTTGATGAGCTCGCCGCTCAGCATCTAGCTGACTGAGAGGCTCGCGTCCATCGTGTAGATTGAAGTGAGCCGCCTCCATTATGTCTGTCAGACGGTTCGTCCGGTAGTTGGCGTAGTGTGTTGTATAGGTTACATCAATCAGATCCTGTGAACAGAGAATGGTTTATTGTAACTAAAGATGAGAACACACACGACAGAGCAAAAGTTCACCATTAAGTTTCAGAAGGAAGAACTGACCAATCTTAGCAGACTTTATAGATTCAACCCTTTCCTCAACTAATGATGATGCCAATTAAAATCTGCTCAGGACCCAGTGTCAGGATTCAGCCGTCTCGCAAAATCAGTTCTCACAGACCCTATGCTGCTAATGCTGTTCATTCCCCGCTGGTGATTTGGTTTATGAAGTCGTTATTTTGACAGTGGGTCCACAATCTAATGGGGAAGGCCACTAAATATGCAAATTACGTGCCTGTCTTAACAGATAACAAAAGCAAGGCAACATGGAATTCATTCACCAATAAAAGTCCAGCAAGGTTAAGCGTCACGAAAAATGCAAGCTGAGGGTTCCCTTTTGCACCGCCTCTGGCGTTTTAGTCGCACTTGCTTCGAATAAAATCCCTCGTTCTAGACCAACCGTTTCGCATAGTTCGGTGATTTCTTGGATGCAAGGCTGTACGTGTCTTCAAGCCTGAGATGCATGGTAAGTTAGTTGCCCGAATATCATCGCAACACACTACCAACAGCCTTTTTTGCGGCATAAAAGATGGTGATGCTTTGAATGCTGTCTAAGATTGCCTTCACATTTCGGTGCTCGGCATGTGAAACCGGTTAAGTTGTCCTTAATCTCAATTATTTAAACCATATGAGTTTGAAAATTCAGCTTTTCTCACCAAGGTCAATGGAAAATACAGTTTCGATGGCAATTTTGATGTTAATCAACAGTAATTCTGCCACACACACGATCCATACAGTGGCCTAGAGGGTTACGTCAAAGAGCTTAATCTAGCCTACTTCTTCCCCTTTTCATAAATTCCTAACGTTAAATCAATTTTGCAAGCATGAAGTACTCACACCTCATATTGCCTAGGAAGTAAATGGCCTACTAGCAATTTGATTGTGAAGAAAGACATTCAGATCACCTGCATAAAATGTCGCATGAGGAGGGTCTTGAGTGCCTGAAAATCGTTATGTTCCAAGCTGTCCGTCTCCACTGTTCCCCAGGGATACACTCGACACCTCACCTGCAATAAAAGAGCAATCAGTAGCTGTACTCGTGCACGTAAGTATACGCTACTTAAAATGAAAGAATAATGTTTTCAAATTCACAACCTGCAAGCAAGAGAGCAGGTGTTAGCATTGGTAGTTGACAGTAAATGAAGTAAGCAATAAAATACTGGTTTTTAATCCTGGTGTATCAATAAAACCCGCTTCAACATCTATTTCAGCGAGGGGAGAAAGGATCGTTATCAATGTGATTCGCCTTTGGGTGATTCGTAGTCAGAGAAAAAGGCATCTGCAACAAATCCTGTCACTGCCTTAACAAATAGGGAAGAAATAAATTCATAAAACAATTTTGCGGCCTTGAACTCGTAAAATAAGGATCTGCCAATCGGATAATTTTGGCTTCAAATTAACCAATAGGAAAAAGGTTTAACCTGGGCATCCCCAAATGCTTTAAATAATTAGTGCCATTTACCACTTTTTCGATCAGCTTCCTTTATGTTTGTTGTTGGATGGTGTAAAATACAATCTCTTGGGATAGATGATGAAATAGCTGTTTGGTGCAAGGCGGTTATTTGCGTGTGAAACTCGTGACTGAAGAAAAGTCATTGGCTTTTGGGGGAAAAGTGAGTCTCAAACCCGTAAAAGTTCCAGTTTATAACACTTATCAAATGCAATTCCATCCTAACCATTCCAAGCAACGTATGGACAGACATGAAACAAGTTGTCGAAGGAGGAGGCCTTTCTTTGTAAAGAAAAATGGGTTTTTCGAATTGAAGAGTAGTTTTAGCTAACATTTCACACAAATGGAGATTAGAACACGGAATTGAGCTTATGAAGAAAAAAGAAAGGCATGGGATGCCACCAAAATCATGGACAGCTTTTAAGGCGGAAATGATGTACCGCAAGCATTGCATAGAGGAGATCTTGTAGCCGTCTATTTGCGAGCGAATATTGCACCCATAAACTCCAAATACAAATGGACTGACACTCACAAGCACCCATACGGGAGATTTGATAATGTACAGCCAAAAAAGTAGCATCAAAATGGCTGGTCAAATGTCAGCATGGTAATGTACTTGCGTGGGCAAGTACTGCATCTCCAGCAGCCACTCTTCGCAACAGAGCACAATGCAACTTTTGCCCCTGCAATTCAGCCTTTTTATGAGTAAAAGTTAAAAGGATAGTTTGCAACTCCTACATCTACAGCCAATCGACTGTAGATTTACTTGCAGCAACTTGGAAGTGCGAGTACAATGCGGTTGCCAAAAGAGGAATACAACCTCTGGACGTGTGAAGCAACGTTAGTGTTATCACAAGACCCACCAATTTTTCTTCTCAACGAGAATGGTTAAAATGACAAGTCACTTGCCTTCGATGTTAAATCAAAGTAAGTAAAGGCGTGGCTCTCGTTATTGTGCAAGTTGCAGTCAAGAGGGATAGAAAGCAATTTCAATTTATTAATAAAGGCATCTGGGTTGTAGGGGGAAAAAGAACATTGTTAGTTCTTTGCTAGGGTCTTTAATTAACAATGCAGTGGTACAAGAGGACATGATTTACAAAGTTTCCAAAATATGCTGGTGCAGTGACTATTTACATTCAGTTGGCGCCAATAATGCAGTTCAAAGGAAGTTCATGGAACCGAGGGGGTAACTTGGGTTATCAAACAAAAAGAATTTCTCTAGGCCTCCCAGCCTGATGGTAATAATCGCATTCAAATAAGCCTTGATGATGATGTTAAAAATAAGTCGTCCCTCCAAAATCTCGCACTGACTGTACTTTGAGGCTTTTTGACAGAAGTGTTTCGTACTACCTTGGCACATACACCGCGAGACGTTGATGTTTAAAGTTACTTTGTTCGCTTCAAAATGTGGAACGATCATTTTAAAATGGGCTGGAGATTGAATTGAAAAGTTCCTTTGTTATCAACCATGGTGCATTCATGGATAAGAATTTCCGTAAAATGGAGCAAGTCAAGTTCAGAAGAGAGGTGAAGATAAACACAGCTGTCTGTGAACTCCAAAAGGAGGAATTCTTTGTCATGAAGATTGTAAAACGTATCCATTCGGCAGAAAAGTTATTTACAAGCAGCAGGATTTCTAGTTGAAGCTGCGATTTGGAAGGAAATTCCTCTCCTTCACCCCTATCTCATCCGGTTGGGCGAGCCCGAGACAGAAGCGCTAACAATTACTTGAAAGAACATGGAAAGCATACAGTAGACAAGAATATGTTTTTTCTCTCCCAAAATGAAGCGCAATGTAGAGCTGCCTAGCAATTAGGCTCCACAGTATTGAAGTATTTATTTAAGAAGACGTTTATCTAAGGCAAAATGGCACCCTGAGGCAGTGCGATGAAAGGGGAGTAGATTCTTTAAGGTCAGTGAGTGCTATCATGACAATGCGTTCTTCTGACATGCATAAGAGAATTAGGAGGGCCGGAGTGAGGAAACGATACGCCGTCCTCAAATGTCTACTCAGGGCCTTTGAGTGAGAAGTCAACAAATAAACTGCTCAATCGAGCAATTCATTCAAAGGTTGATGAAAGGTGAACGATTCACATAACTATGACATACACTATTGTCACTAATACATGCTTAAAACGGAGCTGTAAGATTCATTAAGTAGTGCTGTAATAACAATTACGCGAAACTCCTAAAAGTCTCCGAAAGAAACAAAATTTGTGTATCTTTCAAAGGAGGAAAACCAAAAGAGAGGATAAGAGAGAGTACCACATCGCTCCACGAGCCCAGCGTGCCATCTGTGCAACCGAAAGTCAGCTTTAATCAGCTAGGCATCACTTCAACGCAGACACACAAAGCATCTTTCAGCTAACCGTAACGTTGCATACAAAGCAGTTTCTTTTGCTTCACATGGATCCCATTTCACGTTGCCTCAAGCCCACAAATACACGCCTTTTGGTGGTCCAAAATTTATGCAAAATTCAAATGAGATTAAAAGTGATTTATAAAGTTCGCCATGTTATGTGCACAAGAGCGAATTTACCACCACAGGGAGGAAATAGTCGTAGGAGTGCGTACCACTGCATGATGAAGGATTTCACAAGGTCTGATCATCTCACAACTACCTCCCACACTTTCCTAAGTGTTGAAAAGCAGTTAATTTGGTTCGACAGAAATGGGGATGGAAGGCCTTAGTTAAGAGAAGTAAATAAAGTGGTGTCAAAAGCGTATGAATATTTACCATAGTCCTTGACAGATTGGTCCAAATTTTTGCCTAGATTTAGCAACTTTGAAATCTTGACCCCCTTTTTGTATTGCAAAAATCTGTTTGAGAACTCTGAAATGGGTCATCATATGAAGTGGTGATTAGCAATTTCCCAAATCACCCATCCCACAACTCAGATCACGAGGAAAGAGATAAAATTGCAAAACTGACACAAATTGTGTTTGAAATAAGTGAACGATGCATTAAACCCAGTTTTCCTTCCCTTCTCTGTAACTTTTGGCATTGCTTTAGTTGCAATGCGGTTGTCTGGAGACGATAGTGACCAAGGCGTCGTTAACATTGCCCACTTTGAAGGGGGAAAACACAAACACAGACCCCGATAGGAACAATTTCGAAAGCGGTTGGTTGTAATCCTCACAAGACCAGTTGATTGACAAGAGGATCCAGTTGGACTTGTTGAGGGTGGAGTAAACATTTCTTGAATTTGATTACCAAGAACCAATCACATGAAAAGTTTATTCTCACTGTCAGAAATTCCCCTAACCTAAGTTATTTCGGTCCTTCGATTAATGTCGATGCACCTTGAATTCCAAAAAGGATTACACGACTAATGCAGTGAAAGAAATTATCTTCATCCTTTTGGAGAAAGGGGCGTATATAACCCGTTTCTGTACCCACAAAGAGGCAATGGAAGAGAATCTGCAACTTTCTCTTCTGATAATAAAGGCGACTTATGTATGGACAGATAGGAAATGTTTGTCCTCAACTAGATGTTCAACAACATCTGTTCATTATGCTTTAGAGAAAGAGAGATGCAGAGCGATGACCTCCTATTGAGAGTGAACGCTTTCATCTTTCCCCATATTATTGCTATCAACCCCATTTTATACTCACTACTAACTAAAAGCTTCCAAAGTTATCATACGCTGCAGATGAGGAGGTTGGACTTCCAGATGCAATATGCTAAAAGAGGTGATCATTACCAAAGATTTGAGCTATGAACAAAATCATCGACGACCTTTTTTCCCACTAAAAAATGACTTTCGTTTCACTTCATCCATAAAAATGCAGGTGTGGTGACAAAAAAAAACACTAAGTAAACGCTTCCATGTCTTTGGAATTCTTGCCGAATAATCTTCGTAGCTGTTGTGAAAAACCTCCTACTTCATTGTTAATACGGATTAAAAGTGATGCCAAAAAAGGAGAAGAGTACCATTGACCAAATTTTGGAAATACTTTCCACCAGATCATAATAGATTTACCATCGACGCATTACCAAGAAGCAACTCTCCAAGGAGCAGTGACATTCACACAGATGACAATGAATAATGGCTAGGGGAGCGGAACTGTGAAGCTAAAAGGTTATAATTACATTGCCAGACCTAGAAAAGAAACGATTGTTCTTTCACGCAATCGTACAAACAAATGCATTTGATGCCATCACTGCAATTCGTATGCAGATGCTTGATTCAACTAAACTTACAGTCCACGCACAAAGTGACACATTTCATTTCTTTCTTAAATAAGTCGAGACCCTTTTGTATTTCATGGTAAAGTGGATGTCAAAGCATATATTATCCCTGAATTTGAGCAGCCTAAAGTTATCCACCTCCTTGCCCATCTTTCATTTCCCACGTGTCTACGCCATCTAGCAGTGGATCAGACTGTCGTTTGTTGGCAACAGTCATCTGCAAAAACAATAAGGAATGGTAGGAAATGAGGAATACATGCTTCAGAGTGCGGGACGGCGTCCTTTTAATGAAAAGCTTCACTTATCACATCTGAGCTCTGCCTTCAGTTGGAAAAAGAGGTGGACAAATCTGCGAATCTCATTGCCTTTCCTCCGCCATTTCATTACATTCGAGCGGGGCTTATTTGCCTGACTCCAGCGGTATTTCAACTGAGTGCACGGCCTGGATGTAGTCATTTCGCCTCTTCCTCTCCCTCATGTATAAACACTTTTTTTGGAACAGTTCTGGCATGATTTCGGCTTGGGGTGTTTGCTTTTTGTCTCAGCAATTCAAACTCTGTCGTATTAGATGCCCCAATCATATGTTCCCGAGATTACGTCCAAAAGAATACGTCTGGGATTCGAGATTTCGAGTGATTTTTCAAAACAAATTGTCCCTGCAGCACTATACTGCTCAAATCAATCAAAAAAGCTTAAAATGTCTTGTAACTCTGTGAGTTAAGGCATGGAATAGTGGGTGGACAAAAGTTGAACAGAGAACTTCCTTAAGTCTCTAAGCCACTCATTTGTACCCCCAAGTTTGCCTCCGTGGGAGAAAGCAATGCAATCATACATCATTGCACAAAAAAGGCCTTTTCGGAAAAGGAAGTAAAAAGTGCGATAATTCTGGTATTTGTCCCACCCAAATTCTCTTCCAAGTAAAAGCAGATAGGATAAAAAGGACTTTTGCTAATCAAATAATATCAAGCGATTTCAAGGAAGAATAATGTGAACGGAAAATAGAAGAAAATCAACTCTCGACATCACTCCTCTGAGAAACCAAATTACTCACAAATCGGTGTCTGCAATCGTGTTTATTCCATTTGGCAGCTTTTCAATAATATTCTTTAAGTACATCAATCACACAGACAACGCATTCATCATCAACCTTTTTTCATATCAAAGTAGATCACACGTTTGCGCAAATTTCACTCAGCAGAGTCGCCTTCGGATGGTCTCAGATGACTACTGCCATCAAGAGTTGTCCCATTCATCCAGATGTCTCCTTTGCAATCCTGCTGACAACCTGATAAACTAAATGGGAACAACCACGACGTTGTCGAAATAGCTCCACATTTATTAGTGACTCGGAAGAATAGCTCAAACAATGCGGAAAGCCCTTTCACATAAGGTTCCCGTTAAAACAACCACTGCTTACAATCCAGTGCTGTAAGAAAAAAACAAACTTAGCCTTAACCAAGTTGAAGGGATGCTTTGCATAAACAAAACCTCCATTCAAATGGGCCAATCTAACCCATCTATTCACAGTTTTTCCTTGCGAAGTTGTCTGGTTTTAAGTAGATCACCTCAATGCCTACTCCTGCTAATTGCGTGGCATGCAGATCGAATCGCTCTCCGTGACCTCCACCATTTCTCAAGGGCATCAATATTCACACTATTTCATCACAGTGGGAAGTGAAAAAGGCGTTTGAACATTTATGACAATCCAACAAACTTTATCGTAGATTTAATTCGATAAAAAGAACATGCCATGCATTAGCAACCTGATAGCCTTTTAAATACAAACCTATCAGTTATGACCCGCATCCCTAGTTAGGTGAATCAGGACTAGGAACATTCCCATACCTCTTTTCTGTACGCCATTGACACATCTTAATGGACTGAATGCGTGATCCCATCATGAAATGCGGTGGTGATTTTTTACTCTCAATTCACTACCATGGTTTGCGGCACGACCTTCAGTTTTCACAACAGCTCCTTCAAAGTTCTCATACATGTCTGAGATTTAGCAAATAGATGTACCTTAGTCAGACTGACACAGTAGCATTTTTGAGAATCTAGCGTTGTCAGCAACTGGGATAACCACAGTTCATCAGACAGTCCCAAAAGACGCCCAATAAAACGGAAATCCTTCTTTCACAAGCTTTAGCCATGAGTTTATGCGTTGAGGTTATAAGTTGTAGTGTCAAAGCGCATTTTATGCGAGGCACCGCTTTGGCGGATCGAGAAATTATGCCCAGTTAGAAATGGTCCACCTTACAGTTGAAGCAGATGACTTTGTCTACCGACAACACGAACAAGCCGTCGAGCCAATTGCTGACAGATGTCAAGCTGATGGCAATAAAGCATTGGCCGACTGTCTGAGGGAGGTTAACAGCGTCATTTTGGAGTAGTTATAAACCCTTTCAACCATCAACTTTTATGATCAGTTAGTGGGTTTAAGGCGGAGGTTTTCCTAGCTGCCCTGACCAATGGTAAGGAAAGTGCACGCAAACATTCCGCATCCCGCCTTTGTGCAAAAAAAAACAAATTTGTGCGACGACTAAACCACAGTCAATTAAACTGGAAGTACCGGTGACACCATCCTTTCTTCGCCTTAACCACAAATACGCTTGCAAAACTGCTTCGGATTTTAGCTGATCAGATGGAAAAATTCAAATTACATTAGTAAAAGAACGCCCCTACTATATTTCCTGCATCATGCGCTCAAACATTAGTTGTGAACTCGTTTCTGCTCGATTATTACCAGGGTTAACGTACTTTCCGAAGTGGAGCAATGAAAGGTACCGATTTAGCAGACCACCTACTCACTGAACTTTTCGCGAAAGGAAACATCAACAGGAGAGAGGTGTGTAAACCCAGATGAATTATGCCAAAGTCGATGGAAAAATATCCAGGCGGGCAAAAAAGACGACTCAGTTTAAAGAAAACGAAGTTACTCGTAAAAGGAATTGTTTATAGGCGCGATCAAATGATCCAATGACTTCTCTAGGTCAAAGAATGCCCTAGAACGATGATGGGTTATGCTAAATTGAGAAAAGCATGAGAATTAAAAACAAAAAAGCGGATGCAAAAATCAAACAACATTTTCACACGTTGTTCAACCCTAAGTGCTACTTCTCAAACGAGTTGCTTCGGTGTCGCCCTCGGCATAAAGTATGACAGATTGGCGGCTCTGAAAGGAAGGCAGGAGAGGGAACAGATATGTCATAGAAATGAGATCCCTTAAAAGGGATAATGCCATTTAGCCTTTTCATCTTAATGCAATCATAACAGTCACAGTGGTTTTACCGAATTCCTAAATTAGGTTTTCGAGGTTATTTCAGATCCCATATTACCTCAGCCTTACTTTTTTTCGTCTAGACAAGAAGGCAGCAACACGTGATTGGAAGCCAGTAGTACTCAGGATAGACAAAAGGGTATTTAGTGTACTCACCTTCGATCCGTCCTCCTTCGTGATGACATGCGAGCTAGTGCAGACAGCAAAGGGTTGTCGCAACCGCAGGCGTTTTACCTCGGCGATACGACTATCTGCTGTTGTGGTAGCAACAGAGCATGTTTCAGGGATAGCAGAAAGTGGGAAATCATATGTGTGAATGTCTTCGCGAAGTAGCTGGCTCTGAACGGCAGTTTTGAAAAGCCGACACTCCTCCACCGTCATTGTGTCCGCCTTTGCAATAATCGGAATAAGATTCACCTGTTTTGGGAAGAAGAAGTGGACGAGGGAGAATAAAGACATCGCAATGGTGGACCTCAAAGCAACAATCTCACTTGAAATATAACTGCTGCATAAGTTAACCTTAATTCTAATTTTGGCCTAATTAGCAGTAAAATGTGGGGTTAGGTATTGCTTAGGAATCAGGTGAATGGGAAACGGTATGCTCACAATCGAATAATTCTCTATAAATGACGCTATTGTTACCACTCCATCATTCCGCACATTTTTCTGACTTAAAGATAAGATTTCAAGTAAGTAAAAACATAAAACAGCAGCATTATCTTGCAGAAAATGCAATCAAACAGTCATATGGCGCACTAGATCATCGAGCACCGCTTTGGGATGAGCTTAGGGTTTCAATTAGCTTAGAAGTAAGCAAAAAAGTGGGAGAAGATGAAACAAACTTTTCTGCTGCCGGCACTTTGTAGGCCCCGCATCTGCAATGTGGTAAGGGTAGTGGCATGATCAAAATTGCACAAAACTAAGCGCAACTTCGTGCATCCTCCCTGAATCCTCCATACTCATGAAAATTGATCACTTGCAGGTTTCAGGTATTAGTAACAAGACGATTATAATAAGATTGGTAAACACTTGGTACTATGTATTTGGGAACCATTGCTATGTAGCCTCAGCTACGCAGGAATGCTACCCGCATAGATATGCAAAAAAGGAGTTTCTTCTTCCTAGTCATTGCAATTCAATGCTAAAAATTAGGCGGAAACATCCTCTGCCGAAAATAGGCTCTCAAATGAGGTACAATTTACGTAAAAAAGAAGGAAATTCTTCAAAAATGTATGCAACCGCATCCACCCCCAATTTCCGCAATTCATTGTTCTGATGGGGATATGACCTCCACGGTCGCGATAATGCTGTTGCATTACTTTAAAGGGGAAAAAGTAATGTCCTACTTTTCCAGCTGTGGAAGAAGAAGAAGAAGAATTTCACCATCGGATGCCCTGAATCTCTTAAGGGACTACTTAAGAAAAGTTACTTGAGTAACATCCATAATCATCACCTACTCCAATCCTTCATTCTGCAGGTGGGTGTTCGATAAATAAAGAAAACAAAAATGTTCAATGTAGAGCCGCCCAACATACTCCTGTGAAGAAAAGTGGATCGTATGAGCAGATAGTTCCTCCTTCAACCGGGTTCCAGCTAGACGGGAAGGGTTATCGTAGCACAAGAGTTCTGCAGTGCTTTTCAGAATTATTATGTAATTAAATAGCTGCTTTCAAGAAAGTGTAGGATGATTTCTAAATTGTCTTTGAATAGGGAATAAAGTACGTAATCACTCAAAAGGCGCGACCGAAAATGAGATTGAAAGCCAGAGCTTCCTTCCGGTCTTTTTTTAAAACGGAAATTATATTTTGCTTCCAAATCATTCTGTGCTTCTACTTTGTCGGTAGTCATGTGAAAGAGTCCATAAAACTTGATTTGCCATGTAACTTCACTATCATGCGCGTAGCAAAAAGCTCTTGTTGGGTTTTGTAACCAAAAAATACCTCAAATAGCTGCGTTTTTGCACTCATTCACTTTTGACGGATGCAGACAACAAACCAGAACAAGATTTTGTTGAAAAGTTCATCAATCCTAGCCGTCAGCGTATCACAGTAGGTAGCCTTGATGATCGCCTTCGTTAGCTTCGAAGAAGACTTAATTTCCTTGAACAGCAAGCGAGGCAAGCTATATCCCCCGGCTACTGTGAAATGGTTTGTTCCATGGACGTCATTGGTTAGAACGTCGTAGTACAATTCAATGATTGTTCAATCAGAAAAAAACAAAAGGGGAAACAATTTGTTACCTCTAAATTCGTGCGATCGGCCAAACTTTTCCCTCAAATGCAGTTTTAATTTAACTGCTCAACGAATGTATAAAAAGTTACATTTTAAAGTTGCGACGAAAGTTTGCTCACCCCGTCTAGGCTCAATGGCATTAATGATAAATAAACGCTTAAAACTTTCCTTAATTCTATGAAAGTTAGTAGCAAGACAGCCAACTTTTAAACTCTCATTTTGCTAGTATGATGGACTGATTAGTACCTTGCATCAACATTGCAATTAATAAACAAAAAACGCCATTGTTTACGAATGCAGTCACAAAACAGGACCACAGACCACTTAATTTACTCACAATCACAGTTAGAGTAAATCATAGCTCAAAAGGAAACATTTTTTCCAAGATTGATTGTCTTGCTGTAAGCGGCATGTTGTCAGCATTTTGACAGGGCGAAAAAATTCCACATAATCTATTTGGTTTTCCAAATGACAATTTTTTGGCCCATTTGGCAATGGGAAATGCTTGGTGTCCTGAAAGAAAGTGAACATCAATTGTTTGCCGCTTTTATGGGTAAGCCACTACATTTAGCAAGCTATATAATTGGAATCAAGAATAATAGAGGTCTCAGGCCTTTCCTTCATCTCGAAACAACCATATCTTACGCATTAAAGATGTCTAAAACTACATTCAACCATCCGAGTGCACCTCTCAGCCCATAGGTCTGTGGTGGTGTGGTCGTTCAACAGTCACAGCACACAAGATAACGGTGAATCTCAAGAGCCCCTGCCAGTGCATACGCCAAAGCCTGCTCCAATCTCCCAATCCTACACCTTCGTTTGATGCATCCAGTCAGAATTGAATGCACTTGTTTGTCACATTAGTGTTTCAACCTTTCAGTGGAAAGAAGTAATGGAGAGAGAGGATTCAGTGCCTTTCAAAATCTAGTGGTAGATTACTAATGTCTGTAATCATAAACTCGATCTAATGTAGTTCTCACAATGACTTTTGAGCCTTTTTATTCCAAATGATGAAGGTGAGATAAGCAGTTGTGACTCACTGAATGAAGTAAAAGAATTACCATCCTAGCTCCAACATGGGATGACGAAATGATGCAGGAAAAGGCAAAACAAAGTGTTGGACCCAGTAAGCAGTACAGAAGGTGTCAGAGTGCTAGCACCGCGAATTAATTAGGGTCATAATGATAGCCCGATAACAAAAACAGGGTTTCATACTCGCATGCAGAGCCATCTGATTGATGTTGACTGAGCTGAAATGACAGATTGGCTGTTACACCCATCGCCTTGATGAAGAAGGTAAGAAATCATACAGACATGTACAAATCTTTTGCACCACTCTGGCATCATCTGATCTAGATAAAGAGCTTGCCATGGCCCAAATTAAAGACGACTTGAAGTAGATTTGGAAATGTACTACTTGATTAACAAAAGAGCCAACAAAAAAGGTGCGAAAATAGGTAGTTGTCAATTTCCAGGGCTCTGAAATGTATGCATGCCTATCGAGTAAATTGTTTACCAAATAATATCATTTAACTCCTCAGGAGCCAGAAGGTACGTTTGAACTCCTTTTGGTAAAGTTTAAAGATGATGTGTCTGCTTGCACGTAGGGGACGTTCCAGACAAGACTTTCTAGCATAAAATTTTTAACGTGTCGACTATCAAGTAACGCCATTTGGAGTCCATCTACTCTGCTAAAATGTGACCATAGGCAACTGAACAAGCACCGTCTTGAGGCGAACTAGCGAAGGAGATGACAAAAGCTTTCTCCCCAGTTGCACAATAAGATGCAACAACGCATTACCTAATACAAAATTCTAGCGTACGACAACCTGCTGTACTTTGGAGAATAAAAAGGCGAAGGCGACGCATCGTCCTCTGCCTAATAAGATTCGGTATTCTTACCACTTTCCGTTACTTGCAAAAGTAGAAAAATCACCGCTTTTTGATATAATGTGCGGCATAGAGGTGGGAGCTGCAAAGTAGAGACCAAAAAAGTAATTGCTTTAGGGAAAAGGTAAAAAGCTGCCAAAGCAGAACCCGACCATTGTTTTGAGAATTCTTATGGCAAGCATGAGCAAGAGGATCAACCTTCGACCAGTATGAAATACAGCCAGACTAATTACAGATGGTGTGACCTTTTCGTGAGCACAATGCGCCACCATTGCGTTGCACTGGGACATTATTAATAAGGTGAGCAGAAGGCCACTTCACAGTTCAAGTGCGAATGATAAAACTTTTAGGTGAAAAAAAGCAATACAATGTTTGCGAAAAAGGGTTAAGTTTTTAAGCACAATCCTGCAAATCTCTGCTAAGTACTTCATTTTCCACCAACAAATGCTCTTAAGTCGCATCCAGTGCAACAACTTCATGACCTTTCTTCATTAATTTCGATAACTACTCCTGATAGGTCCTACTTGTTTTCAATCTCTATTCTCGATATCAAGGGAAGTTAATGAGAGGTGAAAACAAACAGAAAACTACCAAACCCAATCCCTTTGTATTTGCAACAAAATAGTAGAATTGAAAAAAGGCTACTGTTACCTCCTAGTCATCTAGCATATTTGGCACTGAACCATGGAATCGTCGCGCATCACTGCGTAAGCAACCAAATGAACTAGTAGTTGGACTATGCGGAGGGTAATGCATCCTCTTATCCCTCTCTATACCCCCTAAAGTACAGTAGGAGGGTTTCTGTGGGGCAGACGTTGCCTATGTGAATTCGAGTAAATTAGGGTAAGTGGACCGCAAATCCGGTTTCTTCATCACTGGCATGTGGGCAGTGCTTTGTGAAATGTACTGTCATAAACACTCTCAGCCTTTAGAAAACGAAATTGTCCACTACCTAGAGATGTGTGGCGGCTGATGAGTAGACAATTTAGATATTACTAGCGATTCGATGAAAAGGAGGAGTCTATTTCCACTGCATGCCAGAAGGAACAAACGACGCAACCTACCCGAGACTTCTATGTTGTGCACAAGAATTTAAAACCGATGGATAGTCTTTAAATACTAACTCCTTTTGTTCTTGATGTCGAATCAGGAGATAGAAGGGGTTTGAACAATACCTTCCACCTAGATTACCTATCGTATACCATCAATGTTACGATGAATGGAAGTGAAGGTACTGTGTTCATGATACGTTAGCAACGAATCGGTTTAATCAAAAGCGCCAACGGATCCCTCATTATAATTAAGATGAGGGAGTTTTCACGGCATGGTCTATCAACT